GGGAGACAACGCCTAAGTCTTCATAGAGCTGGCACTTTCTCACTCAGACGTCACCTCCTCTGAGAAGCCTTCCCTGACCACCCCTGCTGAGGCAGCCCCTCGCCCCTGACACTAACACTTTAGCACATTTCCCTGTTTTATTTTCCTTGTGGAACTTCTCACCTTGAGAAAGTATCTGATACTTGTTTATTTACTTGTTTATTCCTGTCTCCCTCCACTAGACTATCAGCTCCAGGAGGGCATGGGTCTCGTCTGTCTCATTCCCTGCTGAATCCCCACTGCCTGGAACAGCATTTGGCACAAAAAATATTGATTAAATGCACGAAGGAAACACCCTCGTCTCTTGAAGACGAGGGAAAAGTCTGGACCCCAGACCTCCAAGAACTGCTTAGCCTTGAACCCACATCCTCCCTGGCCAAAATGTCTGCAGAGGGGATATTTCTTCCCTCGGTTCTTTAACGGCAGGGCTGGGCTCTGAGGTCTGGTCTGGGGCACAGTTAGGCATTTCCGCAAAGCAAATCCAGCATGCTCTTATCACAGCAGTAAAGCATTACTCATTTGTATAATAAGCATTTCTCTCTCTCTCTCTAGAGCACAAGTTCTGCAGATCAGAGCTTGGGTGTCTGGTCCCTGCTTTGCCTCCAGGGCTTGGCAGTGTCTCACACAGTAGGTCCTCAACACAAGAGTTCTGAAGTGAGTAGGAAAGACCCCTTTTCGCTCCCCCACTCACTCTGCTCAGGGAAGAGCCTCTATTAGCCCCACCACCAGGACTCCCTCCCCTTCCTTCACCCCAGGTTCCTCTTTCCCCTCCCCCATTTTGGGGCCCCCCTGAGCATCCCTTGGAAGGAAGGTCTCATCTAAAGCAGCAACCACGCTCACGTCCTCCACACACGGCTAGGTTGGGGGGGAGTCTGGGGATGGGGTGGGGGGAGAAGCGGGTTGAACAGAGAAACCCCTTGCAGCCCACCTCATCTGCACCCACCCCGCCCCACCCCTTGCCCTTGGCCTGGGCCTCAGCCCCGGCCCCAGCTCCAGAGTTGAGCTGACTGGCTCAAGTAAAAACTCCAGCTTGAGAAATGGTTCAGGATGGCCAAGCATATCACCTACTTGCCCAGAAGTTGCAAACGGGCTGGATTTGGCCCTCAAATATGTTGCATTTGGCCTGCAGTGGTTTAAAAATTTGAAATTCGTTGCCAACATTTGAAAATAACTGAAAAATTCATTTGAAAGTGAAAGCTGGGTTTTGGGCTTCTCTTGGAAAATAAGATCTGTAAGTTGTGGGTCTGCATCCCCTCCCGGCAGGGTTGGCTGGCACTGAGTGGAGCCATGCCCACTGCCATGTCCTGACATGCCCACCCGGACCACTTTGCTCTGAGTTTGAGACCCTGGCTGGTTCACCACTGGCTCCCTGCGCCTACAAGGTGCTTGGCATACGGGAGGCATTAGATAAATATTTGTCAAATGGATGAATGAGTGACTTCGCCTCCATCTGCTGGGCTTGGCCCTATGCCCCACCCTTAAGGGCCATGCAGCTACACAGACTGGCCAGTGCCCGAGTCTGCTGCATCCTCATAGACTGGAGGGCAGGAGAAAAGGGTCCCACTAGCTTTCCCTGGGAAGGTTCCTGGGTCATTCTCTTTCTCCCCATGTGGCCTGTGAGGTGTACGAAATCCGAGCGACTGACCTGTAAGCTCGGGGAGGACTGGGGCGCTCGGGAGAGGGGTCCGCTCTACACGGAATTCTAAAATGAAACGTAAAACAGCTTAGGAAGATGCAGGGGGGCCTCTTGGGCGTGGCCCAGGGAGGACAAATGCACCCACAGGGACACTGGGTGGGGGGACAGGCCATGCACAGGACCCGAGAGCTGGGAATGGGGAGAGCACGGTCCCCAGAAGGCAAGGGTGGGGAAGGAGACACAGTCACAGAGAAGGGAGACAGACAGAGAAGGGAAGAGTGGGCAGAGTTGCCACTTATACCCTGGGCACTGGGTGATGCTGGAGCTTCTGTTCCCACTGTTTTTCTTAAAAGTCTTGAAATTGCACTAAAAAAATCTCCCAGAATCCATCTTTCCTCCTATTTTCTTTGGTGGGGGGGAGGAGCTGGGAAGGTAGCATTGATGGGAAGCGATGACCCTAGAGCAGCTCTGCCACTTTCTAGCTGAGTCATCTTTGCAGTCACTTTTCCCTTCTGAGCCTATCTCCTCACCTAGAAGATGGGGATCACCACACCTTCCCCCAGAGATTACTGTCAGGACTAGACAACAACATGTATATAGAGGATTCCAAGCTGGACTGCCCAAGGTGCAAGTGCTTAGGGGACCTCTAGAAAAATAAGACCAGAAAACAAGCAAACAAAAGCCTTGCAAAAATATGAAATTTGATATTAAAAAAAACATTGAATAGTCATCATGGGAAAGCTCAGAACTTCGTTGGGCTTCTCGCCACTTATGAGAAGGCCTAGTGTTGTTTTTATTTTGAATTACAAATGAGGGTGGTGATCATCTTGCTTTTAAATTGTTTTTCAGCATTCAGGGTCTCCAAAGGTCTTGTCTGCCTTGAAAGGGGCTCAGCATAGCACATGGTCATTATCGGTGAGTCCGTAAGGACACAACCAATGTTGGCCCTCAGGGAGGTTGCCCCACCACAAGCCCAATGCCCTTTTGGTGGAAGTGGCAACCCCGGAGGCGGGTAGGGAGGAGAGAAAGGCAAGAGGCGGGCAGAGATCAGCCTGGGAGGGAGGGGTGCCATGCAGGGCCACACGGGGAGTCCCCCCAGCTTCTGAGGTGGGGGGAGGGGGGGGCGAGGCGCTCCTTCCTCAAACATGCCCTTCCTTCCAAGCCTCCAGCAGGCAGACCTCCCCCATGCCATGCACCCCCAGACACCGCCCATGAGGAGTCAGATTGCCCGGGAACCAGGGACATGCTGGCAGCAGAGGGACACTGGGAAGAACTTACCGGGGAACTGGTAGGTGTAGCCAGGGGCGAGGCCTGTATAACTCCGGCTGGCATAGGTCGTGGCTTGGAAACCAGGGTAACCTGATAGGGCAAGGGGACCAGTGTCAGATGCCTTACCTACAGCTCAGCAGGGAAGGATGTGAGCCTCTCATTTCCCTCCCCACCTTGTATCATGAATAATAATCAGTCATATTTACCATATACCTTCTGCATGCCAAGCCCTGTGCAAAGCCTGTTGTACACTTTACTCTCTCCTCATAAGAATCCCAAGAGTTACTATTAGGAGCCCCATTTTACAGACAGAGAAACTAAGGCTCAGAGAGGTGACAGTTATTAGCTGAGAATAATCCAAACTCTTATCAAGGCCCTTCATACTCAGGCTCCTGCCTCCATCCTGTCCTCATCTACACCCTGCCCCTTTCTCACTTTGCTCCAGCCACATTGGCCTCCCTGCTGTTTCTCAAATTCACCAAGCTCTTTCCCACCCCAGGGCCTTTGCACATGATGATTCCTCTGCCTGGAACACTCTTCCCCGGGTTTTCACATAACTACGTCCTTCTCATTGTGCAAGACGCAGCTCAAATGTCACCTCCTCAGAGAGGTCATCACACAAGAGACCTCCCTTTCATCAGTTACAATATTCATCATGTCACCCTCCCTGGTTTTTCCCTTTCAATATTTCTCATGTCACCCTGGTTTTTCCCTTTCATAGCACTGATGACCAATATCTGAACTTATCCCAGGATTTCTTTAAGTGCTGATTTTCTATCTTTCCCATCTTTTATTTCTGTCTCTCCAAAACACCAACACGGTGCCTGCTACTTAGTATATATATATTATAATAGATATTTGCAGCTTTGAAAGAAAGATCACCTAGTGAGTAATAATGGTGTAACTGGGATCCAAATTCAGATGTGACTGGCTCCAAGTCTCTTAACCACAATTCTCACTACTGGTTAGAGGTTTTCTTTTTTCCCCCCACTTTTTAAATGGGGTGAAACCAGCTAATGAATTGTTTTGAAAAGAAAATTTTCTCAATATTCCACAGGAGGCTAAAGAGACAGAACAATTAAATTCAATACTTTATTCTAGCCTGGAACTTGCTCTGGAGGACAAAAATAGTTATAAAGAACATTACTGGATCAACTGCTAAAATCAGAAAATAGATAATAGATTATATTAAAATATTGTATCAGTACAAATTGGTAATTATAATGTGGTTTCTTGAAAGAACATCCCTAATCTTGAGAAACACACAGTGAATTATCTAAGGGTAAAGGGCCAAAATGTATGTAATTTACCCTCAAATGATTCAGGGAAAAATCACAAGTGTACTCTGTGTGTGTGTGTGTGTGTGTGTGTGTGTGTGTGTGTGTACACATACACATACAGAGAGAATGATAAAAGCAAAATGGGTATGATATAAATGATAGGTGAATCTGGTAGAGGGTATATGGATGGTCTTTGTACTACTTTATTTTTCCAACTCTTCTGAAAATTTGAAATTACTTCCAAATAAAAAGTTAAAACAAAAAACTTCAGGAGAAGACAATGCTCCACTTGGCGGGTACATTCCCCACCCCTCTATCTGTGATCCCACTCCTGACCCTCTAGCCCATGCTATAGCCCCTCCTCTGAGTCCCCAGAGCACCCCTCCCCCATCCCCAGCATAAAGACCCCCTTGTACTGTTGTCTTTCTGTGTATATACATCTTGTCTCTCCAGGGAGACTGTGACCTTCCTGGGGGCCCAGCTCAGACTTTTCACCCTCGGTCGTGGGTCCCAAGCACTGCTGATTCGTGCTCAACTTCCAAAGCTCACGGTAACCTTGACCTCCTCCGGGAAGCCTCCCTGACCCCCAGGTGGATTTAAGTGCCTCCTTGGGCCTCCCACAGCCTCTAATCACTGTGGTGACACTGCCCATTCACTTCTGTCTCCCACTTGAAGGGAAACCCCATGAAGGCAGGTCCTCTCTCTCAGAAGCTGCTCAATAAATATTAGTTGAATGAACAAGAAGAAGCAGCCTTCTTTCTACCTTCCCAGAGGCCTTTGGGTCTGTAAATGCTGTTCCATCTGCCTGACCACTTTTTCCCTCCCCTGCTCCCTGCCCTCCCATAACTAGCTCCTACACAACCCACAGACTCAGCTTAAATGTGACTTCCTTCTTAGCTTCTCCAAGTCTTGGTCAACTTTGCTATGACCATGCTCCCTTGGCATCCTATAATTCTCATCCTAAGCCTACTTATTTATGTTCTTACTTATTTTTTTCCCCTGCCAGACCATAAAGCTCCAAGGAAAGTCACCGTTGTACTTCCTGGCATAGGGGCTGGCATTTATAGTTGCTCAATAACTGTTTACTGGACAGATGGGTGGACAAAAAATAGAATGGACGGATGGACAGAAGGACCAATTAATGAGGAGCAGCTGGACCATTCTTTTGGTCACCACCAGAGGGCAGCACCCTACAACCAAATCGGCCTACCTTCATTAGGACCGGTAGACCTGAGATCCTCGGTCCACACTCCTACCCAACCACTCAGACAGGAGGGCAGACCACCGAGGAGATGCAACACCCATGCAGCCCCTGGTAGCCCTGGGAGCAGTTTTGGGCAGGAAGAAGCCGCAGATGCAGGCCTAGCACATACCCAGCATGCCGATGCCCAGCATGAAGGCGTCCATTCCATAGGGCATGACTCGAGACCTCCCCCGGGCCGAGCCAGTCGGTGACATCACCTCTTTTGGCTGAGCTTTCTTACATTCCACCTGCAATGAGACCTGGCGGTCAGTCCCTCCTATAGACGCAGGTCACCCTCCTATTCCCTGGCAGGCCTCTTTATTGTTAATTTCATGGTTACCATTTCTGGAGGGATCACAGAGTGCGAGAGCAGCTTTGCATGCAGTAGTTCATCGAATGCTTACACCAACCCTATGATGGAGGTACTGCTGCCACTCTCATTTTACAGATGAGGAAACTGAGGCTCAGACAGGGGAAGTCATCTGCCCAATGACTAGACTAGTAAGCGGCGGAGTAAGGATTTCAACCCGGTCCCTCTGAGCCCACCAGCCATGCTTTCTCACAGCTGTGGGACACTGTCTTCCTGTCCAGATTTTCAGCGGGTGGGAGAATTGGCTCTGCCCCACTGACTGTGAGGCCCCTCTGCCTGCCTGCAGAACCTCCAAGCAGCCCTGGCTGGCTCAGCCTGGAGCCCCAGTCTCCCTCTGCACCTCCACCCCATCCAATCCCGGCTCACCATTTTGTTGTTGATTTCATGGAAGTGGATTTCACACACTTTCTCCACGATGTCCTCGCTCTCAAACGTGACAAAGCCGAACCCTAGAGGGCAAAGGCAGGCTCAGAACAGGGCTCATGGTCAAAACCCAGCCCCAAATCATACCAATAACACCACTCCCCCCTCACAGGCAAGTGTCTAAGCGTTAACAAGAAGCTTTGTTCCCAGCCTAGCAACCTCTCAACTACCCGATGAGACAGGGTTTCAACTCCCAAATCACGGATGTGAAAACCAAGGCTCAGCGAAGTGACTTGCCCAAGACCACGGAGCAAGTTAGAAAGAGGCAGAGCTATGATGCAAACAACATTCAACCTTTTCTCTTCCTCAGATGCTTTCCAAGGAGGGGAAAAGAGCACACACAAATACTTTTAAAAATGCACATGAACGTATACAGATATATTTTTGAACACAGATACACAGATATATGGTACACCTAGGTACCCATATATCACAGAGACACTCACCAGTGCTCACAAATGCATAAAGGCCCCTGTGTACATGTACAGTTACTCTGACACGCTAGATCTACAAAACTATTCAGACATAGACACGCTCATATGCACAGACAAAAACACACACACACACACACCAGCACATACCCCACTCCCCAAACAGGCTAAAAGGCCCAAAGCTCTGAAGGCACTGGAGAAACAAGCCCGCCTCCTCCTGGGTGTGCCCCAGGGGCTGGAATGGGATTTCTCAGAAGGCAAGGCCCTTGGGAGAAAAACAACCAGGCAGTGTACACCCGGTGGCCCAGATGCTCACAGGTTCAGGGGCAAGGGTCCTGGGGGCTGGGCTCAGCCGATGGGTGGGGCGAGGGGGCAGTGGCAGGAGCAGACTGCCCGGGGCTGTGGAGTCAGCCTGACCTGGGGGTGGCCCGGTCTAAGCTCTGGTTACCAGGGTACAAGGTAAGCCCAGGCAGACACCGGCTGGGGCGGGGGTGGAGGGCTCAGCTGCAAGGGGAGAAGAGGTCTGCTCCTCTGCTCCTCTCGGGTGTCTGCAATTCGGCAAGTTTCTAGCACAGGAAACGGCGGGACAAAAGCCTTCTGTAAGGCCAGGCCCCGGAGAGGATGCAGATCCTCGGGGATAGGATGTCAGGAGGCGAGATGAAAGGGCAGCTGTGACCTGTAGCCCCCTGGCTGACCACAGGCCCCCAGCCTGGCCTGGGAAGGGGGAGGGGGCCAAACTCACCTCGGTGCCGGTTGGTGGTTTTGTCAAACATCAGCATGGCGTCGTCCACCTGAAACAGAGCTACTGTGGCCGACCCACCAGACACAGGGACCTCCACAACCCAGGACAAGGGCTCCGACACCCGTTCCCCTTCTGCCCAGTCCAGGCTTTATCTTAAACCTGCTCCCTGGGTAGGGGACAGCTTTCCATCTGCAACCCCAACTGGGTGCCACAGCACCACCATTCAACCCTCAAAATCTCAACGGGCCAGCCTGAATGTATTAAGCACCAAACATATGCTTGGCCCTTTGCCCCACCATCCTCTCCTCCATACTCCTTGCATGGTAAGATCCTCATTTTGTAGATAAGGAAATGGGCTCAGAGATGTGAAGTCACCTACACAAGGTCACCCAGCAAATCCCAGATCAAACCTGGGAGGAGGAGGCATAGAATGGGTGCTAGAGGGGAAAATATAGGAGTAAGATATGAGGTGGGGAAGTGAAAGCCTCTTTCCTTTTTGCAAAAGGCCAGGAGGACAGCCACTCCAGCCAGACCCAACTCCCCTCTCATGGTACAGATCTTTTCTCCTAATTGAGGTTTCCTTTTGCTAGAGGCTGTAATTAAAGCAAGTAGAGTTCAGTGCCTGGGCTTCTTGCCTCCCACTGACTGGGGGAGGGGAAAGGGGTGGAGGAAGGAGGAGGGTCTACATTAATCCCCCATCCCTTGGACTCCAGTCTTCTCTTCTTGCTACTCCAAGGCATCCTCTCAGATACATGGACAGCCAAAGTCCTTTGCTTCCCTTCTGCAGTCCCAGCTTCCCTTTGCCTACATCTGCTGCTTCCCTCCTCGCCCTCTTAATTCTTCAGCCAGTGTCAGCTGTCTCATGGGGTTAAGCTAAGGTCTGATTCACCCTCGGTGGAAATCAAGGGCTGCCTCTGATACTGCCTCTCCCCCCTCCACATCCCACTCCAGCTGCTGACCCTCCCCCAAATGGTCAGACATCCAAGGGATAAAGGAAAACTTCCTGAGGCCTTGGGGCACAGCCTCTTCTCCACTCTCCTTTGCTCTCTTTCCAGGCCATCATCTGCCTTGTTAAAGTGGAAAGGGCAGCCCCTGAACTGGGTGGTCCTCCAGTTCTTCTTAGGCACCAAGCGGCACTGGGCCCCTGACTTTGCCCTGGGAGAACCAGGACACACACACACACACACACACACACACACACACACACACCACCTCCGCCCCTGACTTTCCCCTGGGAGAACCAGGACACGGACACACACACACACACACACACACACACACACACACACACACACACACCACCTCCACTGAGCCAGGAGGCAGCTGGGTCCCTGGAAAATCTCAGAGGGAAATTACATCTCCCTTCCCAAGAAGCCTCCTGCCCCAGGGCCCTGCAGCACAGTGCCACCCTAACTCCCATGCTATGGACCCATTCTGAGCCCACATCCCAAATTAGCTAGACTGTCCAAACTGGATGGACAATGCATATTTAGCACAGGGAAAAGAGAAACCCGGAAAGGAGGCTTGTGATAGAAGCACAAGCTTTGAGTAGGACAGGCTGGAATTGGAAAGTAAGCTTGGCAAGCAGCTTTATGTCTCTATGATTCAAGTTCTTCATCTGTAAAATGGGTATAACCAGTTCCTTATAGGGAGGAGTTAAATGAGATAGTGCGTGTAAGACTCTTAACTCACAGTACCTGGGATACAGTAAGTGCTTAATGAATAACAGCCATTGTTATTATTATTACTTTTATTACAGAGGGGCTTACCCACAGTCACATGGGGGAGGGTGGCAAAGCTAGAGACAGAACAGCTGGACACCACTGGCTTTGAAGGTTCCATGAAGACAGTGCCTATGTCAGTTATGACCATGACCACCCTACTGAGCACCTGGACTTGTGCTACTGTGATTATTTTTTGAACGAATGAGTAGATGAACCAGCCACACCCTCCTCCCCCATCCTGCAGCTTTGAGTTCCTGCGGGACCCAAAACTGATTCAGCCCAAATCCACAGCCCTTCCTCCACCCAACCTTCCCACTCTACCTGCCCTGGCCCCCCAGACCCTTCAACCTGGGCCTTGGCTGGACAGACCCAGAGTGGGGCACCGGAGTTGAGGCCAGGGCACAGAACAAGGAAAGTGGCTGGGGGTTCAGGGGACCCCCACCAGTGTCCCCCTCCTGGGGCCAGCTGAGGGGAGAGAGGCTCCCAGCCCAGTGTCCTTAATAGGCTTTGGTCTCCATGGGAACCCAGGGGCAGGGGGGCTCGGGCGGGGGGAGGGGAGGCGGCCGAGGCCTGCTGACCAGTGGGAGCCGCCAAGTTCGGCGGCCGCTAAGCCTGAGTGGCAGCCATGGCGGCTGACCATTGTTCCCCCCTCGGCGGCGGCCCCTCGATCCGGGCGGGAGGCCCCCCGCCGCGGGGCCCTTGGCATTCCCGGCTGTCCCCCTCTCTCCCTGGCAGCCTATTCTCCAGCTCCCCCTGGCCTCCCCGGGCCGGTTTCACATGCCAACGCCGATTTAGGCCCGAACAAAAGACGCGGCCGCTGACGGCTTCTCCTGGGGCCCGGTTGCCATGGCAACGCCGGCCCCGGGGGCAGGCGGCCTCCAATCACAGCTGCTGGATCAGATTAGTGCGAGCTCTAATGCTCGGCGCTCAGACACAAAGACACCCCACCGGAGCCGAGCGGGGCCTGCTGCTTCCCAGGAGCGCCCTTCCCTCTGGGGCCCAGGCGGCCGACCTGCCCTGGGTCCTGTGCCCGGGTCCCCGCTGAGGCGCCTGAGCCTAGGCCTCTGGCCGTTGCATCGCCGGCATCCGCTGGCCAGGGGACCTCCCACCCTCTCCCCTTCTACCCTAGAGACGGAGTGGGGTGGGGGGGCTGGAAACCCACCCAGTCCCCAGCTCACATCCCATTCCCAAGCCACGTTCTCCTGTGCCCTTTGCCTAACAGGGAACTGAAAGAGCCTTGACGGGAAAGTGAGATCCAGCCTGCAGCCTGTCTCACGTCAGAAAAGACCAGGGACCCCAGTACTAAGCACAGCAGCCCAACTTCAGCCCCAGACTTAAAACTTGGTCCCCTCCTAGCCATCTCTCCATGGGACCTTGATGTTCACATTGCTCCCCTTTCTGGGGACACCCTATTGTCTGATGTCACCACATCTGCTTCTGCATGGACTAAATGGCCCAGAAATGTAAGCTCCATGCACCTCAGAGCTAAGAAGCAGTCCTCCGGGACTGATCAGGAATTTGGGGTGGTCTCTTCAGCCCCTCCCCAATAGCTAAGAGATCGGTACCCTCCCCCTCAGCTCCCACCTGTGCAAGGAGGGTCCTGAGTACAACTGGGAGTGATATTTATTGCTTCCTTATCATCCTCACCAGGAAGGAGTGGGGGAAGGTACAACCGCCCGTGGACTGGACAGGTGCAAACTCCCAGGAGGCCAAGGGGTGACTGGATTGAACTGGCTTCGGGAGCACAGCCTCCCTCAGGAGAATGAAGATAAGCAGGAGAAGGGCAACAACAGGGACAGCTACTGTGTGGCTTCTCTCCCTGGGGACGTGTCCAGAGTCCGAAGCCCACAGATAGGCCAGGAGCCTGAACGGTGGGTTGGCCCGGCCTCACCCACAAAAGGACCCAGCCCCCTTTTCAACTCTTGCAGGAATTGGAATGACCTGGCTGGACTCCACTTGCTACTGACCAAAATTCTACAGGCCTGTCATACCCACCAGCCAGCACCCCCAGTTTGGACCCACCTTCCCGAACTGCTCAAAATACTGCTTCACGTCTTCCACCGTGGTGTTTACTGATAGCCCCCCAACAAAGATCTTCTTCGTTCGAGTCACCATCTGTTAGGGGAGGGAATGAGAAAGTGGGCATCTGAGTCCTGTGGCCTACCGCCACCAGCAGGGGCTCCAGCCCTCCTGCCAGGGCGCCAGCTGACAAGCTCTCTGTGGCCCCAGCTACTCGGAAGCTCCCTCTCCCCCCGAGCTCCCCCTTGGACCCCTGCCTCTAGGCCTGTAACAGGCAGCTGTGTACCCCACACCCCGGCTGGCTCGCTTCCTGGGGTCTGTGTCAGGAAGGGGATGGCTTAGTGACCCAGACCTACAGCCTACCTCAAAGACCCCCCCAACCCCTCCTGGGAGAGGCCAAGGCCCATCCCAGGGTCCCCCTGAACTCAACACCGACATTTTCCTCATCAACCTCCTCCCAACCCAACCTCTGGCTGCCCCGTGGCCCCAGCCCTGTTTTAGGAAGAACACATGGTCCTAATTACCCCAGGAGCGCATGGCTAATCCATGGCAATTCCCAGCCCCATCCTAACACTAAAGCACCTTCTGTCACCAAACTGCTTAATGGAATTAACCCAATTCCGACCATGTGCTCCCTGGTGCGGCTTCCTTCAAATACCTGCTTCATAATTGCTTTCAGGCCCTCTGCTGGACTCTTTCAGTGATGCCCTTTTCCTGTCTCCTAAAACCTGCCTCTCTCCCTTCACAGTGGCAGGAGCTGGGCACCATGACTCAAAATCTTAAAGCATCCTAGTTCCCACTGACCCCTTGCAAAGGGGGAATTGAGATCTTCTGGGGAGGGACCTAGTCCCAGGACACATGATAAATCAGCAGACTCAGGGGTCTTGATCTCTGTACTACAGTCAGCCTTCCGCCTGTCTCCTGTTTTCGACTGCTTAAAAATTAAGATGTGGCTAGTTGCCCTGGGCTCTGGAATAGGCTCCTGTCTTGCACCAAAAGTTTTGAGTTCTGTATAGCTCAACTGCTCAGAAATCTGTTTTCCATACACCCAGAAAAACTCGCCACAGCACCAGGGAAAAAGAATACTTGGGAGGGCAGCCACAGTCACCCAACTTGAAAGATAACAGGTGTCAGACACCATGGTCCCTTCCCACTCTTCAAGCCCAACACACCTCACCCCAGAGCGGGGTGGGGGGGGGGGGAATTGGGGGGCCAGAGGGGGCTCC